TTCAAAATTTATTTACAGTGCATATATTTATAGCATTACCGCAAGACAGTTTAATGTGTGTGTATAAAATGCATGTTCTTTGGTCCAAAAGGAAAAGGGGGGGGGGGGTGGATTGTTCAACAGGGTTCAAGCTCCCCAGTTAATTTACTTTTTTTGCTAATCAAATGAACCTGTAGATCAACACAGTATATATTTTTTACTTTTTTTAATTTTGTATCATATCGTTGAAAAAGATGAAAATACAGTACCAGAAATTATATAAATATATCTCTCAAACCAAGATTAATATACAGTAACATTGATATGTATATAAATCCATATCCTCGAAAATAACTAAATACAGTACTTCATCATAACATAATTGCAGATAATTTCACATGCAGTTTTAGCATTCCTTATAACATTGCTTGCATAAAATACAGTTATAAAGGGCCTATATATATAATGGTACTGTACTGTAATAAGATCTTAAAGCAAGCAGACTTCAGGCATCGTATGTTGTAAATACACACCACGCAAAGAATGTGTTAATATAGGCAGCCAATTGTACTTCCGAATATTCAGATTGATTGTAAATGCATTCTATAAGACACATGTAGAGTTAACTTCGGTGTATTAGCACTCATTGAAAGGCTGGTTTACAAAAAATCCCTACACGCTATCACTGACAGTTTGAATTCAGGACAGCATGCAGTACCACGATTTCAGTTAAAACCCTGTAGTAACAGTGTAGCAATTTTATGGAACCCAGGTTTAATTTAACCTATATCATAAAAAACAGATTTAAAACAATTCAATTTTTCATAAAGTAGCAAAGTATACATTATTATTTATTAAAATAAATATTACATTAAAAAGATTACTAAACAAAATGTGTTACTGAGGCGATTCCTCATTTATAAAATTAACTGATGTTTGAATGCCCAAATTCCCACAATTATTAACATTTATAATTAACCATCGAAACCTTCTGTACACATACATCATTCTTAAGCTTTGTCTACAAAATCAAACTTTATCTGACAAAAAAATGTGATGTGCCCATATACTGTATGGGTACCATGTGCCCATATATAGATACGATGATGTCATATCACACATATTATCAAATTGTATAAAAAAAAGTGTTCAAATCTTATTTTCCATCACATTTTATGTGATGCTTTTTTGATGAAATTTGATAGTGCAGACAAAGCTTTAAAATCCAGTTGTTCACATTTACATATTTTTCTATTATACCATCATTATTAATGAGAAATATAAGAATGAAAAGCACCAAAGGAAAAGATACCAAAAAACTTAAATTTCTCCTCTAGCTAAAATGTCAACAGATACTACATTTTTTACAGAGTTATTACAACTGCAGCAAGTTTGCAAATATTTAACAGTGGATAAATTTTCAATAAGAAATCATGACAAGTACACTTTGGTTTCTCATGGTGTCCCATCATGCATGCATCATTCTAAGCAGGTGTCCCCTCAGGCATGCATTCTCCCAAAAAGGTGTCCCCTCAAATATGTATCATATCAGACAAGAGTATTCTCAAATCACATATGTCCCATTATACATGCATCCTCCCAAGCAGGTGTCCCCACAGACATGCATTCTCCCAAGCAGGTGTCCCCTCAAACACGCATTATCTCAGACAAGAATATTCTCACATCACACATATCCCATCATACATGCATCCTCCCAAACAAGTGTCCCCTCATACATGCATGTTCTTAAACAGGTGTCACCCCAAACATGTATCATATCAGAGAAGAGTATTATCACATCACATGTGTCCAGTCATACATGTGCTCCATTAGATAGGTTTGTCCTTTCACACAGGTCTCGCCTCATATGTGTCCCATCAGACAAATGTTCTCACATACGGGTGTCCCCTTTAAAAAGGTTTCCACTCCCACAGGTGTCTCCATAGTGAATGAATCTATATGAAATGGATATCTCGCTAAACAGGTCGCACCTCAAAGTATTACTACATGTGCCCTGTATCAGTTGATTTTCCCTCAGATCCTATATACAAACTTGTCATAGCAAATGAAAAACAAATAATTGAGACACATTTCTCTATGAAAACAAAGCACTTTGTAGTCAGATAGCACATAGTACAGTACACATTAACAATATTTGTTTGTAGATATCATTAATATGGCTTCATATAGCAGCGTCTACAACATGTAAACAGTGTCAAAATTCTTGCAACATTAATAACACCACTGGTCAATGACACAATCCTACAAGGTACTCATTTATACATTATTGATAATGAATTAAAATATCTCTGTTGTATAGCACATCATGCTAACAAGGCCTAGATTTGCCTCACATTACTGCCCTGGTCGGTGGTTCAAACAAATCACTCCCTACTAGGTGGAAACATTGAATGATTGGTATCCAAAAATACAGTATACTGGGGCCTTAGTCCTTGTCCACACTCTCAAGTTGCATATGATAAATACCTTTGATTTGCATACTATATTTGTGATGTGTATTTAGGAGGTTTGATGCTTTCATTCCAATCCCATAATCAAGCCCTATGACAGCACATTATTTTTTTTCACGACTAAAACACATCTCCACTTCTTAAATCTCTAACCACACAGTTTTATACAAAAAAAATGATAAAATTTTCTTTTTCTCACTAATTCCAAATATAGGAAATTTCGGCCGGGCCCCTGGTGACACTGCGGCAGCCGAATGTGCACCAGGACCATCATACGACGGGTACATTAAATACCATGATTTACCAATATATAGGTGTAATATGATATTTTGTCCATATATGGGCATGATGTGACATCATGTTGCCCATATATGGGCATATTTGTCACATAAAACTTGAGAGTGCAGTCATAGCATAAGCTTCGTACTGAGACTTCATTTATAATTTTTAAGAGGGAGTGATGGGGTGAGGAGAGGGAAAATTCACATATTTTCATCACATAAAACGTGATTGTGAGAACAGAGGTCTGTTACATTATTAAAAGGTGGGAGAAGCCGATTCACAATAAGCATCATATTGGTCGCTTGACAAGCTCTTTGCATCACTGTCTTGCGTTGTTGGTGACCTTAACAAACTTTCATCTTCCATCAGAACATCCTCGTCAACTTGCTTCCTTACAGACGGTGACTTTGGTTTTTGCGTGGTATCACGCTGCGGTGGATCGCTGAAAGCACGCAATCTAACCGAATTCAGATCGTTCGAGATTCCTCCTTTCAGTCCTTCATTCATTCTGTTCGTTTCGAAGCTGCCTGTGCGTAATCTCTGCCTTCCTTTCATATATCCTGGTGAGGTTTGCAAAGCATTTTTCATTTCAGATAGCAGACCGGCAAATGGATCCTCATTATCTCCTTTTTCATCTTTAACTTCCATCTCTTCTGAAATTGCTTCATCCATTGATATTTCCCTTGACCTTTGCCTATTACCAGATTTAAGTTCATCTAAACTGAAATTCCCTGAAAAACAATATAAGTCAACAATAAGTCATTGCATTAATTTTTTTTTCTGCAGCTGAAATCAACTGAATTGAAGGAGGGAACGAAAGAAAGCAGTCCTGTTATTATTATCCATATCATCATCTTTCTTATCTTTTTCCTCTTAAAATAATTTATTATCCACAATCATTATAACAAACACTATCATTATTGGAGATCAGAGATGAATTTTATTTGCCTTATTTTGTTTTTCTCAGAAAATTTCTAGTGGGTCACAAACATTTTGTAGGGATTGCACCCTTACGATCACCCTTAAATATGCCTTTGGGAAGTATTCAATGCAATTTAAACACATTATTTTATCAACTATAACAATTTTAACAAATTCTGGCACTAAGAACCATAAATATTGTGAACATACCAGTAGGGCTTATTGGTGATAGATGGTTGACTACATTCCTATGGATTGTTTCTGGAATTATCTCAGCTGTTTGTTTATTCGCTGTATTGTTTACAGGTTTTTGGTCATGATTGATGATTTCTGTTGGTCTCTTTGGTATTTTTTCTGCTGCTTTTTTGCGGAGTTCATCAACCTCTGATTGAAGCTTGCTAACATCCCTCTCACTCTTTAAAAGATTTTGACTGATTTTCTACAAGTTAAATAATAGTTGAATATAAAAATTGAATGTGTTAATATAATATTGCTAGTGTTTCACTGATACTCAGTAAACAAATGTAACGAAATAAATTGCAATTTACAAGACATTAGAGTATTTAGTTTGTTCACTCACAAATTTATGATTTTGTGTCTACTCTTCTTTGTTATTAATCTAGATTCTTTGGAAATTTCGCCTACACTAACTAAACAGGAATGGTGACAACTGTTTTCACAAATGCGTTGAACTACAACTGAAAGCTAATTTTATAGAGGTATAAGCATGTATAAAACATAAAATCAGCCCTCAACTTATTTGAAACTTTTCCTGCAGAAGCCTATTTGTAATGGCTAACATTGTAAGATCAAGATTTCAGGTCTAACTCTGCTTGTTTGTGTTCTGCAAGGAACTTTATTTATCCACACCTAGAAATTCAAAGGCTACCTGGTAAAATAGTGTAAATCTTTTATGGCTACCAGTAAAGTATATATACGTTTTGCATCTTGCATCATAAGGACTAACTTAAATATAATCTTTGGGAAACTCAAGCAGGCAAGCAAGTCGTTTAAGGCAAATGTATCCAGTATTTGACAGCCTACAACCAAGTATTATAGTAGGCTAGCAATTTTAAAGCAAAGAAGACGCATTTGTGCAATGACTTAAAAAGATAAAAGCCAAATATTTTGCAACAAAATATTCTGGAAAACACAAAATACATTAAACTGCCCTCTATAGGTTATTTAGGATGCATTTACCTGTAGTTCTGTTTGCATGGCTGTACTCATCTCCTGTATGTGTTGCAAACCTATGGACTTGCCTTTAGCATCTGCAAAAACACTCCTGAAAACAGAAAAAAACATCTAATGTACTAAAACTACATTAAAACTATATTCCGCATTATTTATCTTATTTTACGTAACATGTCCATACAACAATGTATCAGTATATACATTCCACATTGTTTTCAATTCTACATATATTTTTATATTGTTATATTTTAACCCTCCTGTAAGTGGCGATTTATTGCTATTTATGTGGTAATAAATAAAATAAATTTTTACAAAATGTATTTATACATTTATTAATTCTTTTTAGACTCAAACTAATCACAAAAATGTGTGTATATATATTTTTATATTGTTATATTTTAACCATCCTGTAAGTGGCGATTTATCGCTACTTGTGTAGTAATAAATAAAATAAATTTTTTTTAAAAGCATTTATACATTTATTAATTCTTTTTATACTCAAACTAACAAAAAAAATCTTAATTTCCGAACTATTTCTTTACGAATGGTTACGCTTCCCTGGTCAAATTGCTTATCCTTGATCGATCGTCTCCCAACTTAGAGTAAGTTGTAGCTAAGACAATTCTCTTTCATATATGTGACTTCTTTTTATATTTCGATAACGTCATCATGGTCAAAACAAATGTTTTTTTCAGACCCCCCTCATCTTTCTTTCCTCAAAACATTGAGCACAGCTGTGCACCCTTGGATTTTAATGTACAGTCGGTTTTCAAAAAGAAGATTCAACGAATGCATGGTCAGTCTAATTGTGGATACATTCTGAAAAAAGTTCAGCAAAGCTATAAAAAAAACTTGCTACTGTATCACTCATTTTTTAAAGTATATTTCCTTACGTGTATTTTCCAAGTATTGAATCGTACACAGCGAGTGTAGAGGGCCTGTCTTGACTGTTCATTCTCTTGTATTCCGATTGTGATGTGTCACCAAGGTTAGTGACCTCAACTGGTAAAGGCACAAATTTTCTACAATGGAAATTGTGAAGATATTTTAAGAAGTTTAAATGTATTAGTTATTTCATATAATTTTAAACAAATTATTATCTATGGCTTTCTGAAAGTACAATGTTAAAAAAATATTAATAATATAATACTAATAATATATGGATTTTTTTTCTTGTAAGGACGATTGCCATTGTTTTTTTTTTTATATTTATTACTTTTAATGATTTACTCTATAATATTTTATTTACAGATTAGCACTCACACAAGGTTTTGTTGAAAACATGACAACATATTAAAAGATAAATTTATATAAAAATCTAGTTCGCAATGAGAATTTACTAATCTACAGTATTAATATAATTCTTATTAATATAATTATATAATTCTATAATTATTACAATTCATTTTACTACTACTGTGGTAACTTTCAGAGTGTGCAACCTTTACACTTACTTGTTATTTAAATATGATAACTGATACCCAAATGTGTGTGTTGATTGATTCCAAGTCTGTTGTGCTGTAAACATTCCTATTACAAATGTATTCATAGACACATTGTGTAATGCCTTGACTAGGCTTCGATGAACTGCCCTCTCTCGCAGCGAAATCTGTGGTTGAGTGTTGCGTCGAAATTTGTACCAACCAACAACTTTCTGCAAATCAATAGGAGTAAAAAAAATTTGCTAGACAGTCTTGAAGACATTATCTAATCATTTTTAAGGATTAAACAAAATTTCCATTATATTTCCTCAAACACAAACTATGGGTCCCAACCCCCAGTAAATTACAGGGTCACAAGATTCATTAAGATTTTTTTTTAAATTGAATATTACATCCGGGTAATTTTTTTATGTATTAAAGAGTGTGCATTCTTGAAATTTAAAACTTTACTTTAATATTGTTTACCAGAAAACCTATTTTTAGTACAAGCTTTTTAACATCCCTAGAAGTGTGTTGCGGGAAAATGCCTTGACGTTTGTTTGAGTCGTCGGCCAAAACGTTTAATAATCCACATATTGCACCACTAAATTACAGAACAATACCTTACCACCACTACATTTCAATCACTAGTGCATTACTTTAATATTGTTTACCAGTTAACCCATTTTGAGTACAAGTTTGTTAACATCCCTAGAAGTGTGTTGCGGGAAAATGCCTTGACGTTTGTTTGAGTCCTCGGCCAAAACATTTAAGAATCCACATATTGCACCACTAAATTACAGTAACAATACCTTACCACCACTACCTTTCAATCACTAGTGCACTCAGACAAACAAAAAAAAAGTTGCTTAACAGTATCCTACAACATCGCTACCTTACCTTGAAGTTATCTTTAAGTACAGAGAGTAATTCTACTACATCCACGTGTCCCTTGTTGTCATAAAAACTATGGAAAAAAGACAAACATTTTAAATCAAATCTAAGAAAAACAGCAATAGACCATAGCAACCTAAATGGGGTATGTTAATGCCAAGACCACCATCAATGACCAAATCAAGAAAATTGACTTGTTAATATATTCATACTCAAATATATTCATATATTCATATATTCATATTCATATATTCATATTCATATATTCATATTCATATATTCATATTCATATTCATATATTCATAGTCATTTACTGGAATCGACTTACTACTACCAAGGTTATGAGTAAAAGTATAACGGCTTCTCTACTACCAAAGTTATGAGTCTTTAAGTATAATGGCCTCTCTGTACTAAAGTACACAATACTGAAAAATTATTATGCTAATTTAACATTATTATGCTAATTTAACATTATTATGCTAATTTAACATATTAGCAACAGTATGCTGGTTTAGCAAATTAAAAGGAATTATTGTAAATATCACTTTCTTGCATACCTGGCTGTTTGCTCACATGGATAAAAGGACTGGATATCTAAAACATGAAGCAAGATGATATTCATGTAAAAGGTATTTGAATAAATGTAAATAATGATTCTGATTAAAGTAAAATAAACTATTGATCAGAATATTATTCATCACAATAATTTTTTTGTATCAAAACTAAAAGAAAAAAAATTTACACTCATGAAACAATATCATGGGTGGCTAAAATATGTTTGGAAAATGTTCATATACTAGGATAGAAACAAGATTTAAAGCTATTAAAATATAGTTTCATTTTACAATGGAAAAAAGAATACTCTGTAAAAATCTTAAATTTTTGTTCACAGTACCTTAAAAAAACAAAATTAAGGCCACATAAGCCATTTACAAAAAAAAGAAAAAACATTCTTGATTTAACAAAGTTAGTAAGCAATGTAAGTGATTCTGATTTTTGTTGATCTCTTTCATCAAGTGGGTTTGCTCCCAATTACGAGCTCTCTATTTTACGAACACAATTCGTGATGATGATGTCATTACAAAGATCATTTTTAACTACAAAAACACTTAAAAATGTATTTAAAAGTACAGTTGAACTTGCCTAAGTCAAATCCAAAATGGCATTGAAAAATTGTTTGACTTAGATAAAATTCAGCTTACAGATGGTTAATTAATGTAAAACACAACAATTTGGCATGTAAAATAAGATCGACTTAAGCAAAGTCGACTTAGGCAAGTTTATCCGATACTTTGCATGATCCTCATGACTTACTTATACATAGCTCTTCCTTGCTAGAAGATATCTGAGAATCACTGATGTCTGTTGTCCTATGTCGTGTTATTCCACCAATCAGGAAGCCCTCCTGTTATGAACAGACATAATATGTAACTTAGATTTGAATGTGAAAAAGTACTTCCTCAATGAAGTCTACATTAATCACATGAAAATGTAAAAACTGTCACATTGTATTTCTCATTCAAGAAGAGACAGTTATAGATAGAAATTGAAGGAGTAACAGAGTATTTGTCAGGATTCAGGAATTAGGTCTGTTAGCCAAGAATTACAGCGAGACAGTACTACCAAGGTGGGGGTCTACTGTATTCCTAAATCCCTGGCTAGTCTATATACATGCATGCACTCAAAGCCTAGGAGGCATTACTGCAAAGTATTTTAACTGCACGGATGATAACTCAAAAACTAGTTCAAATTTGTGCAGAAAATTGCTAGGAAAATAGTTGTACAGAATCGTAACTACTAAAGGTAAAGGTAGGAGAATGACCCATAACTTGCAGCGTCATTGTGCTGAATTGCGTATGGGCGTGGTCCGTGACTACCTAGCAGCTGTAAAGAGGCGCTTCTTGGTAGATATATGTTCACATCATTCCACAACGACAGGGGCTGAAATGAACCACAACATCGGGGTAACCCCCTACTCTTCCGAAAGATGCAATGGGTTCTTTAAAGTGCACACAAGCCAGATGTATACACTGGACCTCCATTTTAAAACTTATCCGAGAAGACTTGGTTCTAAAAACTGAAACATGGGCGAGGAGCGGCTGGAACCAACGCCGATGTTAAGGCTGATAGCTGGCGGCGCCCTGCCTTACCGCTCGGCCGCTCGACTTGCTTTACTACATAATATATTGATCATTATATTAAATTAAGATTAGGTCAAAGCTTAATTTTTGGCAAAATCTGAGCAGAATCGGCCTTTACTTTCCAAAAAGGAGGATTTCTAGGCTTAATTTTTAGCCTTAATACTTTACAGTATGAGAGGAGGGCGGCCTAGGCCTAGGCCCTATATGATATGTATGAAATTCTTGCCTATAGGAAAAATAAACACATCATGAATGTATAATAGTCTAGACTCTAGTAGACTCTTCCTAGAGCAGCGGCTAGAGGCTAGCCTAAGCTAGACCTACCTAGGCTCCTAGGCTACGGCCTAGCCTAGGCTACTACTACTCTAGGCCTAGCCTAGGTCCTAGGACTGCCTAGCCTAGCTAGGCCCTAGGTAGGGCTAGCCTAGGCCTAGCCGGCTGCTAGCTTCTAGGGCTAGGCCTAAGCTAGCATAATAAGTTACTTAGATTATGATATTACGAACTTTACCTGATCTCCAAGACTATTGGCATGATCAAAAAATAATGTACCCCAGATACTCCCACTGATTTTAACCTTTGCCATTTTATGTCATTGCAGTCAGCAGGCTAGGCCTAACATAACACCACACCACCACACAGCTCTCAAGGGCCTTCAGACCGCGTAGAAGACACGGCCTCGGGTTGCGTACCCCGCGTCGACCATAAATAGCCTCTTCCTTGTGCTCACCTAAGTTACCATAAAATAACAAGACGATTTTTGTGATTTTCACGATTTTAAGGACATATACGAAAACTTTTTATTAATTGTATAATTATTATTTTATTTCAATAGTATTATGCACAATACTTTTATAATATAATAGTAATAAAATATATTTAATTGGGACGGACTATTAAAACTAGGTACCACCGTGGGTACTTAATTGAGGGCGCCAACATGATGAAAAATACATGGCTCTGGAAAAATATATAGGTATCATAGAGTCCGGTATAATGTTAATTATAATTTTTAAATCGACCATTTATGCTTTTATTAAACTTATTAGTTTGAAACAGTGGTGGCGCCAGAGGGGGTTGCGGGGCTACATCCCCCTCCCCCCCCCCTGTCGGGGAAGACGATAAATTTTGTCGGGAAACAAACAAATAAAAAAAAATATTTTAGCCACCATATTGTTTGTGTTAACTTTTCATCACAACAACAACAACAGCAAGAATAACAATAACAATAATAATAATAATAATGATTGGAATACATCGTGATAGGTGAAACAACCTCGACCATGACAATGACAGCGTGGTTGACAGATTTCATGCAACATTTCCAAAATATAGAATTTCACTTTCAAGAATGATGATTTTAAAATAAATTAGATGGTTACATTGCATACTCTTTGTTTCTTGTTTTATTCAAAATGTTTTGGTCTTGGAAGCTGATTTCAACATTAGAAAGTATAGCCTACATGAAGTCATATTATAGTAACTCGATGTCTATCAAATAAGTATTCAAATAACCGGGGGCCTGGGCGGCCCCTGGCCCCAGCCAAGTGAGACTCGATTCGCTCCACTAGCCCCCNNAGGAGCTCGTGCTTTGTACAGTTCCCATGATTTTCCCAATGAATTCGACACCACCTCGGAAAATGGCCTATTGAATATAAAATGTTGGGGTTTGGGGAGCGCGAATTTGAACTGGGGAAGGAATGGGACAAAACTCATGTGACGCAGGTCTTTGAAATGGATTTTCTTGTGGACACCAAAAATGTTAAGGACCACTAAATATCCTGTCCAAAATGTGGTCTGAATTGGAGGGAGTTGATATGTACTAGGGCTATCTAAATTTTGGCTATTTGTCTACACTATATGCATGTCACAATAAACAAAATTGATAATGTGAAATAACTCTATTTTAAATACTTTCACAATGAAAATCGGTAAAGCGTTTTTGTTTTTTATCTTGATAGAAGCAAGGACTTACAAAGAAGCAAGGACTTACAAAGTACCAAGGCAAGGCCAGGCGATTTGGAGAGTTTTACTGTACAATATGTAGGCGCCACTGGTCCAGTGCTAACAGTTGGGCAAACATGGGTCAGGAGTGTCAAAAATGCGGACGTAACGTTTACCCCTACAAACAGGTAGACATGCACCGTGGGGTGGGGAATAGGCTACGTTCCTAAAAAAAAATATGCATTTAGGCGTATCAATTAAATTTTGCTGAGCTAAAGAAACAAATTAAAATTAAAAAAAAAAAAAAAACCTCATAGGCCTATAACCTATTTTCTCCGTGCCCCGTCAGCTGCATTTATAGTTTTAAAAAATGAAATTGGCATGAGCAACATTTATCTTATTCGTCTTGCTTTGCTCAAAGCTTTCTGGAATTGCAGTTTTTTCAGTGTGTACTTTTTTTCTTTTTTTTTATCTCAGACTCCATTGAAGAAGGGCGCAAATGGGCCAACGGATCTCAGTAAGCAACATCCACAGAGTCTGTGTGAAAAGTGTAAAGAACTTGGCTTTTACTGCAGAAATCTCAGGACCACTGACGATGATGACACAGACGATTCTGACAGTGAGGATGAATTGATGAGAAAATTTGGTAATCTACGCGTTTAAATGATAATGAAATAGATATGGTATGGCAATATTTATTTTTATTATTGCTGTAGACAAACCATAAGAAATGATTTCAATATTATTTTTAATAATAATATTATTATTCTTATTATTATGTTTTAATAATTATTTAGGCCTACATGCAATTAATTATTATTAATTATTTCTCATATTTTTCTATCATCATAATTGGATGGTTTTTATTATTTATATACTCTTCAATCACCTAAAGCTAGCTTGAGATAAAACTCGAGTCAAAAATGTCTTTTTTTTGTAATTATTTTGACTTCAAATGTATAATACAAATTCTCGGATAGCCTTCTTATCAATTTGTACATTTTTTAGATACTCAGAGTCATACTACGTACATATGTTTGCATATTTTATTCAAATATATGTTTTAACATTTGATTGGAATAAGTGATATAAATGGTATGGTGATATTGATATTATTATTTTGAAGATGAATATACGATATTTATTATTTATATGCAATAATTTATTGTGAATTATTATTAATTAAATGTAAATTGAAATCTATAATAAAATATAATACAGTACAGTACTGTAAATCAAGAAAAATATAAGTTAGACAGAAAAAACTTTTAATTTTTACATTATTTCATATATTTCAGCTATTGTTATAATGTTTATCAATTTTATTTATTGAATACAATGATATAAACTGTATGATAATATTATTATATATGATATGATTATGATGAATGATGATGAAGAATGCATGCCATGTATCTATATGCAATTATATTTATGGTGAAAATTATTATTTATGGTAACTTTGGATGTAGAATAATAATATGAAGTGAATAAATTTTAAAAAAATAAGTTCGTATACCACCTTCATTTTTTCGTTACCATCCTCTTCGTAAATGTATTGATTTTGTGAACGAACAACTGTAGTTGTTGTAACATATTGTCAAAGTATGTTATGCGTTACCAACCATGCGTTACTGTAGCCATATAGATTATAAATTTCTTCCCCTCTTGACGAGGGGGTTATACATTAGGACGTAAATAATAAATGGCTTTAATTTTCATATCTCTGTGTGAAATCCACAATTTAGATGTTATCATTTATGTGACAAATCAAAATAATTCAGTTTTATTGATCTAGGGCCTATTGACTATATTTACTATTTGTTGTACGGTAGCATACAGTGATGTCTCTGCTCAGAAAAACTGCCAAGTAATTATAATTTAAAAATGAAGTTATTGCATATTTTGTATACTAATTATTATTTACACAATATATATTATTATTATTAGTTATTACTTTATCTTTTGACTAAATTAACAACGTTTAATGATACAAACATAATATGTTTGTAGTAGGCCTGTAAATCGAAAACTGATTTTATTTCCTTTCGATCTGTGACTTATTGAAGATGATGCCTAACTTATGCGAAACTTTTAAATGAGCAATTCAAGTATAACTTTAACATAGGCATACTCATGGTTAAAATCGGACACCATTTATTTGTGTTCGCCTCTCAGTTTTTATGCCTAAGAGTTGGCTAACACGAATGATACGAACGTAGACCTTTGGCCACGCTCCAAAAATGAACGTCGAGAGAATACGTATCTATCTTGAAAATGGAAAATCCCACACAAATTGAGTTATAATTTACTTCACTTTATTAGCATTTTAGCCTGTTAACACTAAACTTATAGGCCTATACAGCTTACCAGAAAATAAACAAGCAATAATCTAAGCTACAGAAGAAGTTCGGATCTATTATCATTACAAACTTTAACTGGAAATGTCGTTTGGTGGAAAGGTAAGCCTCGCGCCGACTCTTATTACGGTACTGTTGCAGATCACACCCTCACTAATTAGTGGATAATCAGAGCTCGGTGTTTGATTTCAAACAACGCTATCAATTATACATTACTCCGTTCACTATTCCTTATTTTAGCTGTTTTGCACGAAAAATAGACAAACTTGTGACGGCACTGAATATTATGAATTAATACAATGTTTAGACTACAGTGTGGTTATTTAATCACGAGACTAAAATTGCACTCAGTATCTGAACCCAATTGAATGTATTACATTTTGTTTCATCTTAACATTAATTAAGCCTAATATAGGCCTAGTTTAAATAGTTTCATCCAAATAGTAGAGCGGAGTTGAATTGCTTGTTGGTGGTTAAAATGCTTGCTTCCAATCTCAATTCATGGGTTCAATTCATGTTACGGTAACATAATTTTTTCTCACGACCAATAACTACTCCACTTCACTCTCATAATGAGACTTACGTAGAGTATCTTTTTTATGCGTCTTAATTGTGAAAAGGTTGCCACTTAAGTTTACTATTGGCATATACCCCGGCCTTGTAAACAGTAGCGATAAGTCATATTATCAATATGATAGTGAGGTCTGCGAATTCTATTTAAAAAGACGGACATGATACATCGCTATATGTAAATGTAGGCCTATGATGAAGCACAAGTGATGCTTCTAAATAGCCTACTCAGGCCGCGATTTGACTTTTGGATCAATTCCACACTGCGACACCGCAGCAACCATTACATAACAGGAAACATTAATGACATTCACATTAGGCCTATACAAATTAAAATGTCGAAAACGACATCGACATTTAGGACGTGGAAGCCTTTAAGTATATGCAATAAGCAGTGGCTTTATCCATCTATAAAGTTTCAAGACGTTATAGTTTGTTGGCCTAGACGTAACACATTATACGATTTATTGGGCCCTGGTGTTTTAAATAAATATTTCCTTTGTATATTTGGGTGATATATAAGCTTTCAATTAAACATAAGATGTCAACAAACCCAGCAACGAATTCATAGCCTAAAAATATATTTCTATATTATTTGATGAAACCATTGATTTGACTGAAGATGTTCATGAAAAGTCTGAAAATTAGAAGATATTTTTTATCTTTTTATAAGTTGGTTGTTCCTTATAAATGATAAACGGAAAGGTTTAAATTTGGATTTTGAGAATCATTTTGTCAATAACGACACTGGAATGGAACAATAAATTGGTATATTTGGCAATCATGATTTCGATGGACTGTGGTTAAATGAACTAACTGGGGTCAGAAGGGTAGAGCTGGATGAATCGCATCTTTCATTTTATGGCAACGTTAATGCCTAAAGATAGATTGTTGGATAAAATGTAAAGATTCAAAATTTAATTTGAAATTGTATTACAGAAAATCACAAATTTACATTCTCGACTGCCTTAAAAATAATGTTGACCATTTCCGTTCGCACTCCTTCCTTATTCTTCGATACGGACTACCCAGAAATATCATAATTGTGTTCGTTTTGCAGCGCAATCTAGTTCCCTGCCTGGCAGGTTGGTGTGCACGACGAACGGTACCGATGTGTAGAAATACATGCCAACAATTACAGTTTATTCAAATTTAACTTATCAATTATAAATTCAGTTTAGTTTCTTTGTTCGCTCTCATTAAATATTGACAGACGCATAGGTGTTAACATGATATAAAGTTTGATTTGCAGATTATTCACTTTTTTAAATTTCAAATTTAATAGATAAAGCTTCAGGGATTGGATCGAGATTTGGATCTCAGTGAAGAACATCCGCAGGAATTTACCATATATTATTGCAGAAACTTGAGGACCAGAGAACTTGACACAGATGACGATGATGACATAGAGGGAAAATCGGACTCCGACGATGATGTTCTTTTTTTGAGAACGTTTCGTAATCTACCGCTCATTCATACTGGGCACGCGAAAGATGATGCCATTAAGGATGAAGATGTACTTAATCAAGATAAAGACAGAGTTTTGAGCAAATTTTTTCAATCATGTCATAATCTACCGTCCACTGATACTGAGCATACGAACGATGATGACAGTGAGGATGAAGCTGTAGTTAATCAAAAAGGCAGAGTGTTGAGAAAAAGTTTTAGATCATTTCATGGTCTGCAGTCCACTGATACTGAGCATGCGACCGATGATGACAATGAGGATGAAGATGTAGGACTACTTCATCAAGATGAAAGCAGAATTTTGAGACAATTTCATAATCTACACTCCATTGATATTGAACATGCGCATGATTACCATGATCGTCACATTTATCATCATTATCTTCATAATCGTCAATATCATAATGATTATCAATCTGCATTGGTTATTATGCATGTAATTAAATTCGTAATTATGATTATGATTACTCTATTTATCATGATGATCATTGAGGTGGTTATGTTTATTATAAGTAACCTGGGCGTGATAGTGATTACATTTATGATACTCTGCAATGTTCACGAAAATGTCAGTCACAATCAGTGGCGTAACCGGGGAGGTTTTTAAGATGTCACTGAGCACCCCTCCCCCTGTTCTATTCAAACGTGAAAAAATGTGGTACCCAAGAAATGTCAGAGATGCACCCCAGCCAACAGATAGGTAGGGCTACTGAGTTATGTCGACATAATTGTTCGTTTTATTTTTTTTATTGCAATGCATTCTAGAATTGAAGGTTTTCACTCCATAAGCAATCATGTTATTGAACAGAAGCATAAAAATATAATTTATATGTTCGTTGCATGTTTAAATGTATTACTAATCAATAAGGATTTTAATAGTAAAAAGTCTGTAAATTAGCGAAACAGAATTGTCTCAATGCAAGCTAGGCCTATATCATGTTGATAGAATTTAATTGGTCTTTTTTTCACATTTTCCACATCATCGTTTATAGAATTAGGCAGTAGACACACGCTCCCGCCGAGAGCCTATGTTTTTTTATCTTTGTTTTGGTTGCGGTCGGTAGACTGCAGCGAAATACAGTAAGTTCAGCGAAGTAAGATTGCACATGCGTTGGTATGAATAATTCATAAATTTTTGCTCAACTTACCTACGATAAAAAGATTTGCCAATGGTGGTCCGATCATTTGCCAGCTGATTTTCCAATGGGCGAATTTATTCGCGCGAAGCAAAAGCGTTTTACAGTACGCATGCGCAGTTTAATTTTCAAGTGCAAGCACCCCCCACCCTCCACCTCCTCACCAAGATTGTTCTCTTTTGTTGCTTATGTTGGTCAAGAAGTTTCTACTTTTAGCGAAGCGAAATAATACGCATCCAATCAGAGCTCAAGAAAATATTTGAGAAAAACGAAATAATGAATGTACGCTTCACCATGGCACGCCGAAACGCCAATAGCAACGCGTAGCAATGTTTGTGAAATAATTTAAAGAAATTCTACCCATTTTTATTGTTTTATGTCAGTCGAGGTACTGATATCAGAAGACCAATAGATTAGAATAATAGATTTTTGTGGTACAGAATTTATAGAAAATAAAATGTGATGAGGAATACTACGACTCTTCTTAAAGTCTTGCATGCTATCAATCAGTAAATCAATCAATCAATCCTTCAATCAATCAGTTATTCAATCAATCATTCAATCCATTAATCAATCAATCAATCAGTCAATCAGTTATTCAATCAATCAATCCATTAATCAATCAATCAATCAATCAATCAGTTATTCAATCAATCAATCAATTAATCAATCAATCAATCAATCAATCAGTTATTCAATCAATCAATCAATTAATCAATCAATCAATCAATCAATCAATCAAATCATGCACAAGCAATCAATTGATCAATCAATCAAGCAATCGATCAATCATTCAATCAATAAACTTTTCCCCAACCAATAATCGACCAATGAATCAATCAATCATTAAATCAATCAATCGATTGATCTAATAATCAATCAATCAAATCATTAAATTTGCGTAGCGCAGGTAATAAATAAAACTGCTCTACCTATTGGCCAGCTATGTAGGCCCATAGGGTTATAATAATAGCTTTATCGTCTGCGTTTTGTTATTTATAATTAGATTTACAAACATAAAACGCTCCAGATATTGGTAATGAAAATGGAACGCCACCATACTAACTCTATACATGGGTATTTATTCAATAAAATTTATTTATTCGATCCGAATCAGTTAACTGTACAGACATAAATTCAAGTAGGAACATGAACGAAAATTGGGCTGACAATAGACTGGTAATTTACAAAATCTGTAAAGACTTTAATCCGATTTAATAAACATTAAGTTATCAACTTCCATATGAGACAAAGATCGAGTGTAACATTATTCAAAATATTTGAAGTAGCGCACGTGGCTTATAGGAATACTGTACATGTATGTACTTGTACTTAGAGAAATGACGCATTACGTTAAGCAGTTCTGATTGGCTTATTAATTATATCTTACATTAATTATGAAGTTTTGCTCGTACCTTAATCATGTCTTTGAATCCTCTGATTGAGACACATTGACTTTTGGTTGTTGTTGTTTAAAGGCTTTCTAGAAGGCTCACGTTTATTCTCATTACTTTATTGGGTTTTCTTTTTGGTTTTGCAGATTTTCAATTTCAATTTTATTTTCAGATGCAATTGAAAAACCTTGATGGATTGGACCGACGTTATAACCTCGATACATATCATCTTCATAAATTCAGATATCGCAAAATGAGGAACAGTGAAGGTGACGCAGATAACGATGACATTGAGGATGAATCCGAAGAAGAATATCCGAATGATGAGGTCATTAAAGAGGATGAGGGCGACCTTTATAGGCAATTTCATTATCTGTGCTCCACTGATAATGGACATGTGAATGATGATTACTACGATGATTATGATGATCATGACGATGATTATGATTATTTTGATAATCGCAATAATGATTATTGTTATAATAGATATGGAGGTGGTATGAAAAAATCAAGATGGTTCAATGTTAATAGTAAGGCAGTTACGGGCAACACATTTCAGAAATGTGGCCGCAACGTTTTTCCTAGCAAACAGGTAGGCGGATGTAACACAACTAAAGGGCTAAGTAGAATAAAAATTGACATACTAATTATCTTTGCTCTGTAAGGATTTTTGCAAGGATTTATCCACACTCAAAGTGTATGTGGCAAATGCAGTAATTTGTCAATATGATATGACGTCATACCTATATATGGACGTGATATGATATCATCATGCCAATATTGATGTGATATGACATCATCAATATAATAATAATAATAATAATAATAATATGAATTTATTTATTTATTTATTTATTTTAATATATGGGCAATTCACTCAAATTTGTTACATAGAAGTTGATAAGGTGTGAGACTTTAAAGATTCGTAGTATTGCAGATTTGATTTTTTACCATTATGGCAAACCTTATATAAAATAATTTTCAAAACATTATTTTTATAAACTTCAGGCACCATCGAAAAGGTCTAACGGATTTGATCGACATTTGATTCTCAATAATCAATGGGAACAGTGTAAAAAGTGTAAGAATTATGAGTATTATTGCAAATGTAACGATTCCGAAAATGAATACTCAGGAGACTATTGTTATGATCGATATGGAGGTGATATGGAAATATCAAGAAGGTACAATGCTAATAGTAAGGAAATGGGCAACAAGTTTCAGAAATGTGGACGCAACGTTTATCCTAGCAAACAGGTAAGCAGATATACGTTTGAATACTAGGGGTAGCAATACAAAAAATACATAGTAACTAATTTGTTTTAGGCCTACTTTGTTATTTCGCAAGGATTTTCCCACATTCAGATTTTATGTGACATAAATCTACATGTGATTTTCCCAAATATGGATATAATATGACATAATTATGCCCATATATATGGATATGATATGACATTATCATGCCATATATGGAAAATTCACTTAAATTTGTCACATGAATTTGACAGTGCGGGCCTATTATTGCAGATTTTATTTGTTACCGTCATAGGCACACTCAGCAATATATAAAATTGTAGAACTATTTTTAAAACACTGTTTTTTTTACAATTTCAGACACCATCGAAAAGGTCTAGAGATCAACACCTGGTTCTCAGTAGTCAATTGAAGCAGTGTAAGAAGTGTAAGAATCTTAAATATTATTGCAAATGTGACGATTCCGGAAATGAACGCTCGGAGGAAGGAAGTAACACCCGGTGTCGTCGTCGTCGCCGTCGTTGCCGTCGCCGTGAACAGTCAACATCAATATCAATATCAATAGATTCTTTATTGTCCACTTTTCAAACAGACAAACAAAGAAAATTCATATTTAAAGTTTTCCCGTAAATAACATGGAAAATATGGAACATTAACAATAAAGAAAATTTAAAAAAAAAAACATTGAAATCGAACACATGTTCTGAAAACCATAATAAATGATCATTAATTTAGCTACAATATATTATAATGTAGTAGATAATATTGTATTATAGAGCTTGGTATGAGCATGAGCTCAGATAGGCTTAATTCCTCTCTCTACAATATCTCTCTCACTTTCCCTCCCCGCGTATATACTACAGTGACAATGTGCGGACTAAATGGCAAGTTATATTGGAAAGTATATTTTTTAACCTTCATATAATTATAGTACTTTCGTATAGGAGGTGAAGTCGCATGTTCATGTATTATTTAGCCTTACTTTTAAGAATACTTTGTCTTAGGGGCATGATAATTATGATGATAATGAGATTCATGATGTGTATTGCGATGAATGTGATAGGAATGATTTCTAATGATTTTTAACCACAGCTAGTAGGCGCAGGCCTAGTTTGCCACCCAATGGAATTACTGAACTAAAGCATAAACATCAAACAAAAAAAAAATAGAATCTGAATATTTTTGTTTTGGTTTAATTTACTTTAAAAATATTAATTAAGTAGGTCTAAGCTACAGATAGCTGCTGTCCTCCGGAGAAAATATGGCCATCTTTGGATTTTAAATCCGTTGGTGTTATTGTCCTCGCACTAATATGTACGGTACTTAGCCTAGAGAAAGTTTTTTTTTCGTATTTATACTATTGATTATTTTTTTATAATGTTTATCATTAATTTAACTCAATTTATAAGTTGGTAATAATTCAACTTTATACGTAAATAAATATGAATAGGCCTATTATTTACTTTATTATAATCATTCTAACTGGTTATTTTACTTAATTTCTCACCTAGCATTGTATAATATGAACTGGTTTTGCTAATATGCTTCTCTGTTATAAAGTACCGGATGACTGTCCTTCTTTCGAATAATCTAAGAAATCAACTCGCTTTCTTTCTCTTCGGGCCTGTTCTGTAAATACATGCCCTATCTCATGTTTGTGTATGTTTTTAATAATACTTCATTCATACGAAATATTGATAAGAAAATCACAAAACTGACATGTTTGGATAAATTGGCCATGGATGCAAAAGCAAAGCACCATGCGTATAAGTAAGTACAAAGTATCATACGTTCAGTTTAAATAACATATAGATGTTTAGCTATGTGTATCCCCGTTAATTATTCTCGCCCTTTGAATGGTATTTACCTCTGTTGTAAAATAGACATCACCTTATTACACGTTAATTCGCTCATGTATTAATGTAATCATTTAACGTTGCATTGATTCCGGCATTTAATAAATAACTGTTGTATTACAATATGTATAAACGATATTTTATGAAACAAATACATACTGTATAGCGAGACCTTTTTACTTAGAATACGTGTTACTATGTATTAAAAAAAAATGTGACTGTTTTTGGTCGCAATGTTTATCGTCATCTTTAGCATTCTGTGTTTAAAATTTCATTACAATAATTGTTCTATTATATATAGGTCTATATTGTGCAGTAAGAATAAATACATTTTTCTGTCGATAATGAAATCAAGATTATTGTGAATAAGTTAATTACGAGACTTTAACTTTGGGCACCTAGTCCATCTGTTTTTTGTTGTTGTTGTTTTTTTTTTTGTTGCATTATATTTATACAATAATAATATAAATGCTTTTTGTCTAGTTGGTGGACAGTGGCGTACCTACTTGGAAGGGGGGGGGGGCGGATGGGAGAGGGGCGCAAAGGTGAAGTGGGGCTCGATGATTACGAGGGGCTCGAGCTCGCAAAATAAGGTGATTTAATGTGATTTAACTCGTCAAAACAATGATTTTGTTGATTTGCTAGGCTTAGTTCAGTAAATAGTTGTGGAATGTACAGCACCCTTGTTTACAGTATTACGAAAGTCCCATGGGATTTTCCAATAGAGATTATCTTTAACACGATTATCTATTCAATAGCTAATTTGATGTTTAAGTAAACAAACATGCTCTTTGGAATTAGTGATAAACACCTAAGTTTACATAATCTATAGCAGTGCAACCTACCAAAACAGTTTATATGGACCAGATTCTTAGGTACCGTATTTCAAGCGTGTTGGATCAGTGTTTAAGAGGTGTCAATGTGTGCTAATAAAATATAAAAAGAAATAAAACGGAGGAAACAAATTTGACTTGTAATAACTCGACATTTATTTATACGTAAATATTTCTATATGCTCTAAATTGTCCATAAGCATATCTACTATACTAAATATGTTACAATTTGAAACAAACTAAAATCTGGTTGGGGATTGGTCACAATTGATGTTAGGCCTGTAACTAGGTGAGACCCAGTATAATAAACTAAAAGTACCCATCTTCATCATCATAAGTATCACCCCTATCACGTCTATTATAATAATCATAACTATCATTATCACTTTCATAATCATTATCCCTATCATTGAAATAATCATCCCTATCATCGTAATCATCAGTGACGTGAAGACTATCAAATTGTATTGACAATTCTTCGTCATCATGTTGTTGATGCAAATCGTTATCTGAGTATTCCTCCACTGAATCATACTCATTGTCATAATCGTCATAATCTGAGTCATCATCTTCACTGGTTCTCAGATTTCTGCAGTAAAAGCCAAGTTCATTACACTTTTCACACAGTTCCTGTGGATGATGTTTTCTAAGATCCGACTGTTGATCCAATCCCTCTGGCTTTTTCAATGGAGTCTGAAATACAATAGTGATCATACCAGGTTTATTCGAATAAAATACGTTTAACTACGGAAAGCCTTGCAATAAAGGAAGTAAATTTCTAATTTACATACTGTAGTCCCTTCTCGAGTGCTTACCTGTTTACAGGGGTAAACACTGTGTCCACACTTCTTACATTGTTGGCTCTTGTTTGCCCAACTGTTAGCACTGTACCACCGTCGCTTACAGTCGGTACAGTAAAACTCGCCAAACCTCCTGGCTTTGCCTTGATACTTCGTAAATCCCTGTTTCTGTGGAAACAAAATTTAAAATTACTTTCTTTAAATTTTTAGTGTTTTCTTCAAGTTGTCTTATAGGCAGCAGGGCTCGAGTTGGTTGGTTTTCTTTGATGTGAAACAAACCAGGATAATCTCCGACAGTTAAAAGAACTTCTATTCAGTGGCGTAACGATGGGGTCGGGGGCCCTGTGTATTTTTGAAACTGGGGGCCCTTTTTGGGTCCCAGTCACCAATTCCATTGTGGGATTTTAGATGTGCATTGTTATTCTAAATGTTTTTAACGACGAATAAATGATATAATATTGATCCAGAAAATTGAGGCCAGGGAGGGACTTTCCCATTTGAGGCTATACCACCTCAGACCCACCATGGTTGGGGCTGAGGTAAAAAATTTATGAATATGGCACCTTTAGATGGCCGGAAATGGCACTTCACAGACATAAAATTGTGAATATTTATTTAAACTCTTTAATCGTTATAATATGATATATGCCCTACAGTCGATTTCACATTATGGTGTTATTTATCAACAAAGTCCTTTTTGGTAGGGTACCAGATCGAGGAAACTAGGGGTAGGGCCACTTCGGGGCCCCTAGAATTCCGGGGCCCTGCGGACCGCCACATGAGAGCGCATATGCGTTACGCCATTGCTTCTATTTCTTAGGTTTGTCTGATAGGCCTGTCGGAAGACGTTTTTAATGGGCGCATCTCAAGATACTAACGGCCTAAGCTCTTCTCGGCCACTGTGCATTACTTGCATCTCAGCCCTCCAGCAAAAATACAACAGCAAGAGGCCTAATCGAATTAAATTAAAAATCAAACGATCCTAATGAAATTATCTGCTACCGGTATCGTATTAAATGTAATTGGTTTATATTTTCTGTACTATTGTTATATTTGTTTTTATTTTTAATATTAGTTTTATTATAAGTATAAACCGTTCATTTTAAACGTGTGCCACCGATCTGAAGGTGTATATTCAAATAAATAAAATATAGTGGGTAATCATCAAGACACACCACTCGAATAAATGTTGACTGTTTTTAAACTCCTAAAACTTCTACAACCCTTTTTAGGAAAGAAAGTTGATATTCTCTTCGATAAATTCTCTAAAAATTATGTTAAAAGAGCGTATAAAAAACGATCACAAATTAAGCATTTTATTAAGTAGGCCTAAGTGTTCTCAATTTTAATCATCTTTTTAGTTTTTAAGTTTCCTTTCCTTTGTATTTATTGAGTACCCACGATCTAAACGTGTATGTTCAAATAAATATTACTATGTATATTATTCTTTTGAAAATTAGTTCATCGCATCTGAAAATGTGATATTTTGAAGATGCACTGTTTGATGTTTAGCTAAAAATGGGGAAAACCCTAATAAATAATTTGATAACTTCGGATACTTTTTCAGGTTAAATTTAGAATTGGTGACAATTATACACACAGGTATGGAATACACACAGGTATGGAAGCTTGTTTCACTTTGTTACTTTATTTATCGCTCCCTCATAATAGATAAAAAAAAAAACTATGAACATAAATTATAAATACCGTAGCATACCTTTGTAACATATGACTCCATCACTATCTCCTGATTTGATCTCTTCGTAGCTGATTCAGAGAGTGTCTGGTATATTCAATTAACTCTACTAGGATGTTCAGTATAACACACGAAAAGCCTGAAATAACTGTAACGATATTGTGTCCCAATCGTTCTTTTTATATACAGTATAGGCCTATATTTAGAACTGTGGGGAAATTCGAAAGCAAAAATATAGCTGTTTATGGAACGCCATTACTGCCTTCAGTGTCATTCTATCATATTGTTACAGATATTCAACAATCTTTTTATCACTTTGACAAACCGTAAAACCTCGAATAGAAGCCAAAGGCGCTTAATCTCGAGAAGAGGACCATCTCGAATTAAAGCCCCTCTTTAGTTTGCAAAAGTAGCCTCGAAATAAAGCCCATTTCGAAATTAAGCCCATGCGCTTCTTTTGGAGATATAGTACAGTACACACACTGTACAAGAGGAAAAAAAGAAGCCCCGGGCTTCTATTCCAAGTTTTACGATGCTCTTTTAATATTATGTTTAATTGGCATTACGTTATTCTCATTTGATATTCTATGTTGATAAATTGAAATTGTGCTATTCTCATTTGACATGCTGATTCGATTTGAAATTACGCTCAATCGATATTAATTATGCGAGCCCATCGAATTTCCAAGCAAAACTATATGGAACGCCATTACTGCCTTTACGATGAAATTTAATCATATTTTTAGAGTTATTCTAATTTATTTACACACTAAAAGTTGGTGGTTAGATTTTTTAGCAATAAAATGGAAAAAATTAGACTTGCCACTACTCTCTTATTTTTTATTATTTTTCTCATTCTGGACAGCGCCACCAACGATAAAGTTAAATTAGAGACGGAATAAATGAAATCGAGTATGGGACGCCAATTAAATTAGGTATGGCGCGCACTAAGTTCAATAAAGAGTGAGTAACCCAAAATTAGGGCCTGGAACCCAGGCTATGGAAAAATCAACACACACAGATATTTTCCACCCAATCTCATTAATCAACCCGGATATAATATATCTCTGTTAATCTTGTAGGGTGAAAGCATATTGTGGTTACCCATACATTTAATGAAAAGCGGTAATTATCTGGCCCTTATAGTCTAATCCAACATTAACATTGAACGCACGGACCGTGTTTGTTTAGTACAGCATTTTGTTTGATTTAAAAGAAATGCAATTTTCACATGTATACCACAAAAAACACCAAATTATGCCTCAGCCCTTATCGTATCTAATGACAATACTGTACTTCTTTTTTTTTTTAATTCAGCTTTAGGCACTAGGGTCAGGAATGAACTATTTTATATATATTTGCAATAAAGTATTATATTTTGTATGCAGAGGCCTTGTCAAAAAATATATAAATATTATAATTATATATTGTATAAACAACAAAATTACCTTTTCTTTCATAAATTACAACGGACCTTCAGCGGCTCTTTTCGTCATTTAGCCAATCAAATCAATGCATTCAGTTCAGGGTGTGGTGAAATGATGGGAGAGGATGATGGAGCTATGTGGGGCATATTTTTAGGGGGTTTGTACAGATAATAGTTCACAAGTTGTGGTTATGGTGATCTTCAAAAGTATAGAGAATAACCCCATACCATACTATTTTAATATTCTATTTATTTATTATTTATTTATTAATATATCATAAGTCTAAGAACAATAACATCAATTATTATTTTTAGTACGACTCCTCTATTCAGAATTCAACCCTCCTCTTCGTCTGTCGTCCTCTCCTCTTCTGGTTTCGAGGTTGGCGAGGCCTCGTCGCGACTCCTATTAGACTCTCAAGTGATGACCGGGCCGGATTGAATTAAGTCACTTTTCAATGGAAGAAAATGGTTAGATTTTAGTATTCCTCGATGAGAAGGTCATATGAACATGATAATTTATATTAAAATATTGTCATTGTCACTTTTACAGATTTTTAGCCATTACCCATTTATACCCATTTATATCGCTTCTCCAAAATGATGCAGTTTTTTTCCAGAATTATTTTATCCTGAACTCATTTAGGCCTGGATTATAATTATTTAGAATGTAGCTGTTAGTATACTGGCCAAAAGTTATTGTCTACAAATTGTTATATAGTACTAGGTTTGGCAGAATCCTAGGTCAGTCTAGGACTGCAGGCGATAAGGTCGCAAAACCCAAACAAATGAATAACAAAAATGTTTTGTAATTATCGTATATGTAGGCAGGCCTCCATTATATGTAACTTAGTTCGTACTGTGATGCTTATAGACCTAGTAGAAGAGTTTGTGTACTTCTCTTTTCGGCGCAATTAACATTAAGCCAAATGGGAGATAGTGAGAATTTGACACTATGTTGAATTAATAGCATGCTCTAGTATGGCCAATTGATATTTGTGGCGGTTTCCTTGTTTTACGAAACGCTGTTATAGTGAAAGATAGTATAATACATACTCCAAGTATCGAAATGCACACCATCATGTTGGGATTCAATATTTCGACATTAATTATCATCGTCAGGAATCAAGATGAAATAATTAATGTCGAAATATTAAATCCCGACACGATGGCGTTCATTTCGATACTTGGAGTATGTATTATACCATCTTATCTGAGATTAATCAGTGGACCTTTCTGTTATATATATTGTTAGGCCTATTGACCCATGTAAATATTACAATTCTATGGTTGTTGTTTACTGAGCAGTAGCAACGATGATGCTACACGTCATTTATCAATTGTTACTATAGTAACAGATTTTACACTGACACGTATTAAAATATAGAAGCGAAAAATTTTGTACTTATATTTAGACATTAGTAGCTCTAACGTATAGAAAAATAGGAATACAATTGTTGGAAGAGGAAGCGATCAGTATGACGAGAAAGGTAGAGTAATCTTAATCATTTTTTATATAACAGTATGCCAAGGCCTATGACGATTACCAGAGAGGGTTAATGCTAGGGGTTGTGTGTGATTTCGCAACATGGTGACAATGACGTTGTGACGCATGAGGAAAGGCCCGATTTGTGCGAACCTGAATATTTCGAACCGTTCTCTGATTAAATATAAAGTATGATTATTCGAAAATATACCCCGGTGGGGGTCCAGGGGTCGAGGCCCTATGGAAGCTACGGATATTCGACAAATTTTGGTGAATTTTATTAGTTATTTGATAGGCATCACGCTGCATGTAATATGACTTCATAATTGTTGTAATGTCCAAACAAAAGTCGAAGTTGCTTCCATAGTAGTAGAACTAGCCTAGTGAGTGACCGCTCTAAATGTTCACATAAGAATGAAGTTAGGCCTTTCCTCCAGTAACACAATTGGATTAAAGTATGCCCATGCACACTTTTACGTCGTAGATCAATATATATATATCTGTCTCTTATACACATCTAGATGTGTATAAGAGACAGTACAAACACAGTGAGCATGCGCTTGGAAATTCTAGACAGCAAGTGAGCATTTGCAATGAGTCAGTGACGGTGTCGAGCCTTGCCGAGCATGCGCAGTTACCAAAAAGACGTCTCAGGATCAAACAGCGTCTGCAAAGAGGGTATAAAATAGAAGTGGGAGAAGTCATACTTTTTTATGCAACAATTAAGCATCCGCAACTTAAGCTAAAAACGCGATCATACATGGCTACGAAAATCGAAAATAATGAGAATTA